TACTCCTCCCACAAGACATGCCATCTCCCAATTCTGGGCATTTGCATTGACTGTTCCTCATGCCTGGAATCCTTGCCTTCTTCATCTCTGCCTCCTGGCTACCCCTGGCTATCTTCAAGTTTCAGCTAAAATCCCATCCTCTCTGAGAAGCCTTTCCCAATCCCCCTTAATGCTAAGTGCTTTCCTTCTGTTAATTATCTTCCTTGTTTGTACATTGTTGTTTGCATGCTGTCTCCCTCATTAGACTAGGAGCTCCTTGAGAGCAGGGCTTGTCTTTTGCCATTCTTTGCATCCCCAGCAGTTAGCACAGTGCCTGACACTTACTGCTTATCGACTATTGATTGTTTACTATTCCAAAAAGCAATAATGCTTGATTGGCAAATGATACCAATGCTTTACTGTCCACACTTGTGGGGTCCCAATTGGGGAAAAGCCATAATACAGAGTAAGAAGTGAAAAGTCATTAACTTAAAATCTGTGGAAGGTAGAAGCCCAGACATGGTGACCTGTTTAAAAAATCATAACTTAGACACTGTGACTCTTACATGACCAGTATCCAACCTTGAGTGCCTGGACGTTTACCCAACAGCACTGGGTAAATGCCTGGATGTCTGGGAACTGGATTCAATACTAAGTATAAACTAAAATATTAGCCAAAACATTAACTAAGCAGAAAACCCTAAAATATCTACCAATCTGAAGTGAGGAACCAGTTTCTCCCCCCTTTGTCTAATTTCTATAATTACCAAGGGAATTCTTGGTGGTTTTTGTGGGGATCCACCGAATTGTCTGGCAGGCACCCCAGATTGCCCCTGTTTGTAAGTATTTAAAATGATTGATTAAACTGTTATAATCAACCTGGAGCCTCTTGGCCTCTTCTTTTGGCATCAAACTCACCCTGCGGTTATGGGAGAGGTACAGGGTTCCCTAGCTGGGGAATTCTGGACCTTACACTTGTATTGGTTTAATGTTTTGTTTAATAAGGTTTGTTTCCTGGAGGTGTGTATATCCTGTATTTGCTGGGGCCTGGCTCTAAGAATAGTTTGAGAAAATGAATACAATCTGACATCCCCATAAAGTCCAAAACATTTTTATGACAACAGCCATGTTTTTGTTTTTGTTTTTATTTTCCTCAAGGGGGGAAAGAACATGGTACAGTGGATAGAGGGCCATCTTCAAAGAACTGGGTTAAGGTCCTACTCCCAGACAAGTACTGGTTATGTGACCCTGGGCAAATCACTTACCCTCTTGGTGCTCTAGGCAATTCTCTTTGACTGTGAGTTGCAAAGAAGATGCCGATCTATACTGGGTAAGGGAGCTTCCTCTTTTGGGAATTCCCTCTACCAGAGGAATACCAGGGCACTCTCCATTCAATTACTTTTACCTTTCCCACTAATAAAGGAAAGTACTGAACCACATCCTTTCTCCCAGAGTCTGAATTTCTCTCAGACAAGGCTCATCTTAGAGCAATTATTCAGCTAATCCTTGTTAGGACCACCTATTGCAGTTCAGCCCTTCTCTGAGGATTAGAGAACCATTATTTTGATAAGTAGAGACATTTTTAGATATTCCTTTTTTTCCCCCTACTGTTGCTTCTTCTCAACAAACTCAGAAAAGGGTTTATAAAGCAACATAAGCCTGCAATGACTGACTGAACAACCAAAATTGACAACCAAGAGGCCTGACATGCAAAATAATGAAACCATTACAAGATGACAGGAAGACTGACAGTCACTCTGTGAACTATCTAGTCTGTGCGCTAATCACCTAGAAAACAACGGTCATGTCTTCTGTTAACATATTACATTGCCAAGCTAATGTTGTTTATTTGTTGGGATGATTATAGAAGGTTATTAGATGATTATTAGAACCAAAAAAAGGAAAAGGAAAACAAAATTGTAAAAAAATGACCATTCTGCTACAAATCTTGCGCTGTCATTTTTTTTTCTTGGGTTATTTAGGATCCACTTGTTATGAAATTCCCTCATTTAAAAAGTGGCGCCGGAGCAACTCTGAGTGTTGTGCTTTTATAGGGATTCATAGGAAATGCAGTAACTCTTACTCTCTAGAGAGTGAAAACCAAGCCCTTTCTGGAAGAGTCGATTTTTACTCCTCTCCATGATGTGTTCACCTCACAATTTTAAGAATGAACAAAGATGTTTAACTCTTCAGTATATTTATTACAAATTTATGTATTGCAAATGCAATATAAATAGAAACTCATATTTTATGTCTAAATGCCTTGTCCTTTCACAGCTCTGGTAAAACTTTTGAATAAAGTGTCTCTGCAATCTCTCATCAAATTTTAGATCCTATTTTATTTGACAACATCTTACATGTCTTTCTCACTATAAGGCATAGAGGGGTGGAACCCGTCTATAATAATATTAGCTAACATTTATGTAGTGCTATGTTCTATACACTGGACTAAATACTTTACAATTATTATTTCGTTTGATCCTTACAACAACCCCAGGAGGTAAATTATTTTGCGCCTCATTTTACAATTGGGGAAACTGAGGCAAACAGAGGTTAAGTGATTAGCCCCAAGTAGAACAGCTAGTAAGTGAGGCTACATTTGAACTCAATTCTTCTTGATTCCAGGCCCAGCAGCCTCCACAATATGGCACCACCTAGCTGCCTAGATGAGCTTTATCTCTCAACTCCATCCTTAGGAGGGACTCCTTCAAGATGTAAGGCTTAGGTCGCAGGATTAGGTCTGGGGCTAGAGACCAGTACAGGAAATTCTAAGATGCAGAAACTCTCTCTACAAATGCATGCCAGTATCTCTGCTACTTGTAGTCTCTCTACTGGATACAGTCATTTACATTTCACAGAACCATGGAACCTCAGAGTTGGGAGAGACCTCAGTGGACAGCCCTGACCTATAACATGAATTCTTTCCACAACATCTTTAACCAGAACACTGTGCCTCTGCACAACTCCAGTGGCAGAGAACTCCCCACTTCCTGAGGCAGCCCATTTCAGGATTTATTACGACATACTATTTTCAGTTTCAAGACCTATTATATCCATGTATCTCCCATGTCTCATTAATAACCAATGGTTCTTTAACTTCCAAATATAGACATTTTAGGGGGCCCTTATTCACCTTCTTGGATGATCATTTATCTCATGATTACATGAAAAATAAAACTAAAAATAAAACCAGTAAAAACCTGCTGGACAAATGTTTGTTCTGTAAATTGAAAGGTTCATTGGGAGTTGTACACTCAGCGTCCATTATTTAACATGCTGTCCATAGGTCATATGTATATGATAGCAATTTATTCTGGCAATGCTGAGAAAGCACTGATAGCCCTGAGAGGCAAGGCTGTGTGCGAGTTATCTCAGCAATAATCCCTTCGGAATTGTTTGTTACCAGTAGTTAACAATCAGTTTGATGGTTAATAGCCTTCTGGGAACCAATAATGTCCTAATAAATCCAACACTGTCCCTCAAAATGGTCATTGCTATTGTAGACCATGATTTATAGCAGGACTGGCTTGGGGGAGGGGAAGAGCAGTAAAATGTTTTTAAATGGCTGTGTTAAAGCATAAATTGGTTTTGTCTTTCTTAGCAATTTACCAAATGCTTCTATCACCTTCCACAAATTGACAGCTACTCTGTTGACATATATGATGTGTTTTTTAATCCTACTATAAATAGAAGTATAAGAAAATTTTATATTTTTATATAGTTATTTTTTCAATTGTCTTAGAGTTCAAGTGGCTAATAATTAATAAGTCTATATTTTTAGGAGGCCAGAGTTATTGGATGAAGTGAAGACTAGTGCTGCTTCTTCCAGATTAGTTTCTTAAAACTTACTTCCCCGCAACGTCTCTTGTTCTAACTTGCTAAAATTCTGAAAGAAAATAGTAATAATAGAACTGTCTGGGACATTTTAAGTTGTGCCTCATCTAGGGGCAGAAGAAATCTTCCTGGGTTTCCTGTCAGTCCTCAGTTTCTTTAAAAAAATTAAAAGGAAATCAAAATAAAGAATAAAGCAGAAGTAGATGCTCCTTTAATAACTTAATTTTCCTCAGAAACTAATTCTGAGTGAAAAGATGAAAAAAAAAGGGCAAGATGACAAGTGGGGTTATCTAGCATATGTCAGGAAAATGCTGGGAAGCCCATACATTCTATTTTCAATTATCCAAATTAATGGAGGGGAACATTAACACAGATAATACAAAACAATGGATAAAGTGCCTGGAGGGGTTCCTTGTCACTGGAAAAACAGAGGGACTTTGAAAGACACAATGAGCTAAATTTGTGAGGGATAGAGGAAATGGGAAAGCAGATTTTGGGGAGAGTTTGGACATGAATGCCCTAAAATAGTCTTCCTTCTCTTCCCTTTCTTCTTCCTCCTGTACCCTCCCTTCCCCTCTTTTCCTCTTCCTCTTCCTCTCCTCTTCCTGTTGAATGGGATGTCCCAGTGAAGACTTCTCAGTGTAATTAAGGTAATGAGTTCAGAAGGTAGTGTGAGAAATGAACTCTCAGAAGTGAAGGCTCCTCAAAGGGTCAAATAATTCTTGATTATTACTTTCAAAATCCTCCCCCATTTAGCCCCTGTTTTTAAGCACTTAACAGAAAGAATAAGGCCTGCCCCACCCCCAACCTGAGCTTCCGGAAAGCCTCACCTCCCAGTTAAGAGGATAGGAAGAAACTTTCGAGCTTAGAATGTAAGCCCACCGCCAGGTAAGGGGGGAAGGGATAGTAGTGGGCGGAGGCTTGTTTGCGTGGTGGGCGGAGATTTGCTTTCATAAGGCGGCCCCTGTTACACTCTCTCCCTCTCTCCCTCTCCCTCTCCCTCTCCCTCTCCCTCTCCCTCTCCCTCTCCCTCTCCCTCTCCCTCTCCCTCTCCCTCTCCCTCTCCCTCTCCCTCTCCCTCTCCCTCTCCCTCCCCTCCCCTCCCCTCCCCCTCTCCCTCCCCCTCTCACCTTCCCCCTCTCACCTTCCCCCTCCCCCTCTCCCTCCCTCCCTCTCTCCACGTGTATCGAAGGAGCAGACAGCCATCTCGCGAGATTGTAATAAAGGTAACCTTTACTTTCCACCATGAGGTCTCTGAGTTTAAGTTGGGTTGGGGTCGCTGTCCCACACACTGTCTTTCTTTTTTCCTTCTTTTCTTCCTCCACTCTACCCCTTTGCCTTCCTACTCCCTCCCTTCCTCCTTTCCCTCCCCTTTTCCCTTTCCCTTTCCCTTTCCCTTCCCCTCCCCTCCCCTCCCTGCCCTCCCTCCCCCCCCTCCCCTCCCCTCCAAGCCGCAAGTACACCAGCCATTCAAAGGCCTTATTCTATTACTAATCAGCATGAGATCTTTCACCTACTCCATCTCTAACCTAGGTCAGTTTGCATCTCCCTTAGCTTGGGCTCACCATGTTGGTAACAGACCAGGTGTGGCCACCTGATTGGCTTCAGCCTTGCTACAGCTCAGAATTCCAGAGCTCAACGCCCTTAGCCTCTCTGGTAGCAGGAAATACAGGTATTCTCCAGCAGGCCCAGCGCAAATAGTCTCTTTTCAAATTCTAATCTCACTTTACCAAATATCCAAAGATTTTTGCTAAGACAAAGACCATCTTATTGATGTTTTAAAACAAACCAACAAATAAAAACTTTTTGTATGAAGAAACGACAAGGATTGCTGCTAAGGTGAAGTTGTTGAGGGTAGATTAGTTAGACATTCAGAGGATTCAACAGTTGAACCAGCCTTCCTCCTTTCAAACTTTCGTGCTGCTGCCAGCTGGCTAAGAGAGAAAATAACTATTTCAAGGTGAAGTGAGAAAACTGGTATAGAAAATCTGCTCAAGGCAAACCAGTTATAATGGAGTAGTTTATCAAGAGTGGCCCTGGACTATAAAGATAAAGGTTGAATGTAACTTATTGTAAATTTATTTAGATAGAATGGATTCTGATTCTTGTAAGACATTCACAAAGCAAAGATGGTAGGAGCTCATTATAACTCGTGATTACATAGATCCATTGAAACATTTCTTTGAATATAGTCTTACATACAAAAGTCTCATCAAATATGGTTACCCTGAAATCTTAGTAATCCCATCCCATGATACCACATTAAAAAAGAATTGGACTGTATACTGTCAGAGACATTTAAGGGTCAGGTGATGTGTCTTTTCTTATAGTGACATTCAAGGTCATTTTAGATACAGAATACATGTAACTATATAGAATACCTTTCTAAAGAGAAACATTTCAGTCAGCCTAAAAGAGTCAAGGAATTCAAGATCTGGAGAATTAGGTCAGGAATTACATTAATTTGATTAAATTACTTAACGTGTTTGAACACAGTAGGAAGCATTCATTACATTGAATCATGAAACATTACTCCTTTCTATTAATTGCCATTCAGATATTGAAAGCACACTTATTTCTTAAATACATCCACAGATCTGAGTTTGATTAAGTGATAGAATGGATTTAACCACCAGAATGTATTAAAAAACATCTATTATCTTTAATAGTTGAATATGAAGGATAGCCTAGCTAGGGATAGCATTTTCTGCAAAATGGAACACCAAAAAGACTTAAGTATTTTTCAGGGATGGAGATCTATATGACAGCATTCAAGATTCTAACACTACAAATAAACTGGAATTTACTTACAAAGTTAAATGGAAAAATACTAATTGCAATCATGGCTGTGTTTGGAATTTGAAATTGTTTCTGTTTTTGTATTTTTTGATTGAATTTATGATTTCATTGGTACAAGGAACTCTTAATAAGGAAACTTGTCTGATCAATGGATATCAGGCACCTGCTCTGAAACTTATAGTCCTACTTCGCTCAGGTTAAGTGAGTTTCCTTGAGTCACAAAGCCAGTGTACGTCGGAAGTGGGACTTGAACCCTTGAATCTTTCCTGACTCCTAGGATAGTCCTCTGTCTATTACACAAGGCTGTCTCTTGTGTTGGTGAATAGATGCTCTTCTGCGTCTAGAATAGGCAGCTGCTATATGTCTGTTCAGGAAAGGAGCTGGCACCCTTTGTCTTAGTTAACACCACTCAGTTGACAAAACCCAGGCAGTTGAAAGCTCATGAATGGGCATTTTCATTTCCAGACAGGGAGGGAGGTTTCTGGTTTCCTGGGCAAGAGAAAAGTTGCCTTCTAGGAACCTTGTCCTGCACAGCAGAACTGCTGATGAAACCAATGAAGTTCAACTCATCTTCCAAGATAGGTCCCCAGAGAAACTGTTTTTAAAATTATTTTGAAGGAATTGGAGGAAGACACAAAACTGAAAGTAAACACAATGAGGTTGTATCACTTGAAAGTACCTGACCTTTAGAATGTAGCCAGCTCTAGAAGAAAGAGTCTAGAAAGTTAATGAAATTTTTTTATTCTCTATTCAGTGACAAAAGACAGTGCAGCATTCCCTAGAGATCTTCTTGTATCCCAAAGATACATGAAGAATCACATTTATTATGCAGTGGAGTGATGGCTTTTAGGAAGACCACGCCATGAAACCCAAGTCAATATTGCACAGTAAAAACAATTATTTTTGTTGGATACTCCAGATAGAGCTGAAGTGGACATGCTCCTTCAGTTCACATTTTCTGAGGTCTTGAAACCAACTGTATCTATTAAAGTGAGGAGTTTAATCAGATAATTTGAAATTTTTTAAACTTATCTTTGGAAGCAGATTTTTCTTTTTACATCATAGTTCCAATGAAGCATTAACCCCTCTGCTAAATCTTGTAACTGACTGGAATGGAGGTTACCATTTATTTACTGGCTTTGCTACTTACTACTTCTGTGAACTTTGGCAAGTCATATAAGCACTTTAGGCTGATTTCCTTACCTGCAGCGTCAGAGGGTTAGACTAGACTAGAACCTGGTCATCATATGATCTCTAAGGTTCTGTCCAGCTCTGAATCTTATGATCCTATTGATGCAGGGTTTACATTTGTCTTTACAGGTATGTAAATGGCTCACCAATCTGCATTGTTCTAACTTCTCAATAAATAGCATTTTATAAGTGGGAAAGGTTGATTGAGCTGTGGTCTTAATGGCAAAAGAGGGATAACAGCCCACATTTCTCTACCATTCTCTACCACCATCTCTACCATCTCTACCACACACACACACACACACACGCACACACAAATATACAATATATACGCGTAATACATATATATGGATGTATGTGTGTGTACATATATATGCATGTACATATCTACATGTATGTATTGTGTGTGTATATATATGTATATGTATACACACACACACACACACACATATATTAATCTTAGGTCTTTCCTAAACATAGAAAACCTTTCCTTGATCTATTATTACCCCATCAGCTATCATCCTATGACTCTCTTCTCCATTCAGTGTTAAACTACAAAGAAAGTTTATGCATACTCTCTTTACTTTCTCACAGTTCAGTTCACTCATTTTTCATTTGTAATCTGGCTTCCATTCTTTTCACTTTATTAAAACCGTTCTGTACAATGTATTTTAAATTCTCCTTTTTTAGTCTTCATCCGATTTGACCACTTTGTGGTATGACATTGCTAATTGTCTCTCCCTGATACTCTCTCTTCCTTTGGCTTCCATGATGCTATCCTGGTTCTCTTTTTTCCCACCTTACCGCTTCTTTTACCGGGTTCATCTTCCTCCTTCTGAGCCTTGAGTATCAGCATCCCCTAAGAGTCTATCTTCATCTTTACCTTCTTCTCTCTCTATACTCTCTTGCTGGGCTATCTCATTTATTCTCATGTCTTATTATCACCTTTCTGCAGATTACTCAAAAATCTATACAATCAGTCACAATATTCCCACTGACCTCTAGTCCTGCCTTTCCAACTGTCCACTGGACATAACCATACACATGTAGCACTGGAACCTCAAATTCAGCTCATCCACAACTACTCTCATCTCTCCTCAAGAACTTTCTTTCCTTCCAACTTTGCTATTTCTACTTAGGATTTGTTCACATTAGGTTACTCACATTGCCTCTACTTAGGTTCAGAGCCTCATGGCTTCTATTATGGATCTTAGTTTTCTCTTTTTTGTATCTCTAGCACCTGGCACATATTGGGCACTTAGTAAATGTTAGCTGACTGACTAGCTGGACTCCCTGCCTCCACTCTTCTCCTTGTCCAATCCATTTTATATTCACCTGACAAAATAATCTTTCTAAGCCCAGGCCTGCCCACGTCAGTCTCCTGTTCAGAAATCTTTAGCTTCTCCTTACTGCCTCTAGGATAAAATATGTACATAGATATAACTATACACACATGTGTAAAGATCTTTTTCATGTTCCCAAATCTATTGCAAGTGAGCAAATGGTTTGAAAGTATGTTAGGGTTGAAAAAAATGAGCAAAAGATGCAAAGTTTTAAAAAATAAAATTCTGGGAATGAATATAGTAGCTAGATATTAAGAAGCTAAGTAAAAGAAAACAGACATATAATTCACAAACCCTTCAATAATATGAATCAATATCTGGATTCACAAGAAACATGATTTATGTTTACATAGAGCCTTGTGACTTACTTAAAAAGTTCTTTCCTCAAATCAACTCTGTGAAGTACATTATCTCTGTTTTAAACATGAGGATACTGTGGCTCTGAAAGATTTAGGGATTTATATAAGGTCACATAGCTAATATGTAGCAGAATTTGGACTTGAAGCCAATTCTTTGGTCACCAAATCCAATTTGTTCTACTTCACCATGATTTTATGGGTAAAAGGGCCCTGCTATAGGAACTCCACTTCAAATTGCTTCTATTCCTTGCTAGCTATTGCATTAGACTTATACTCTAGGTCATACCACAAGTTTCGAGGTCTACAGATTCTAATTGTTTTTAAAATAAAAAAAAAACCAACCTCAAACTATGTTTGAGAATTTATCAATAGATGCTTCATGTTATATATTGATTATCTGTTTTTCAATATCCCAAAATTTGTTTAGGCCCTAAGAAGTTCCAAGTTGCCTTGCAAAATTCCTTCTTAGCCTTTTACCATACTGGCCTGTTACAATGAATTAATTTTATTATTGTTGAAGGACAATTATAATTC